CTCTCTCTCTCTCTCTTCCCCTTGTCCTCACTTCACAGCAAGCCTGGCTCTTTGCATCCTGCGCTCCAGGCTCATTAACCAAATACTCATTAATTTATGTGGTGCAATTAGCATCACGGAGTACAGCATCAGGTTGGGGTTGTAGGAAGAGCTGCACTGTCTCACAAGCTGGATTCAACTGTGTCTTTCTTTAACTGCATAAGGACGTCCCACGGTTTCATGGCGATCACTCTGTTGTGCATCTTCTGATGCTGCTCTTGAATTGAAACAGTGCAGCGATATATTGTTGCTGCCAACTCCACAGTTGTTTTTTGTGTTTTTATTTTTTGTTTTAGAATGAGAAGTAACCCAAACTGTGTGTCCTCCTCCATCCACTGCACTGTTACTGACTTCAGCACTACTATCATGCAGATGGCAGAAAATAGAGAATTACTGATCTTTTTGTCTTGCGCAAACACACAGCGTCTCTTTCTATCTGGTTGCCTCACATCTCTCTGCCTGCTAGTTTGTCTGCTCTAATTAAGTGAAACCATCAGGGGATTTGGGTGGGCCCCTCATGGTCTACTAACAATTTTGTGGTTCATAAATCTGGCAGGAAGGGCCTAATAAAACGTAATTCAATTTGGCTCCGTCACATGGCCAGGATGTAAAGACATATAAAGTAGGAGGCGGCCTCGCCTCCTCGCTGCCTGCAGCATCTTCAGGAATTCCCCTGTCACCTTATACACGCGCTTTGAGTGATTCTGTCTCGGTGTGAACACTAGCTGTTTTACAGTGATCACTTAAATTGTTCAAACCTGGTAAACATATCCCTTCTTTTTCTCTGTCTGTTCTGAAGCATTTGAGGATGAATAATGTAACAGTTGAAAATTTCAGGAGGGTGAACAGGTGTAAGACCCAGAGGGCAGCATGGAGTTATGGGATATGATCTGTTTGGAGGCCGCCAGGTGTTCTGCATTTTAACCTATTGTAAGACAAGACTTTCATATTAAGTTATTGCACTGTAAAAGAGAACATTTACCACCCAGAAAAGGGAGAAAAAAAAGGCATTGCGTTGCATTAAATGTCATGCCGTTCAGAGCTGTCAGGGTTTCAAGGCTCAGGTCAAAGACGACAGCTAAGCCAAAGCACTTATGCTTGTATTAAAGTATTAACGTGAAGCACAAAAACAGCTGGCGGACTTGATCTGCCCCCTCCCCCGTTATGAAAAGTATCTTACATTTTTTTTTTTTACATTTTTTTTTTTTTTTTTACAAAGAAACAGCGCTCAAAGCATTTGGGCTTTTAATAACCTGATGGTGTTTTCACCTGAGGGAGAGAGGGGGGGAGAGGACAGCACATCAGCTCAAATCCCATATTATCTCCCTCTGTTTTGGAGAATGCCATCGTCTGATTGGTCAGCAACAGATTCGCAGTCATTCTATAGTTGCGTGCCGTGTGAGAGAGGGAGGAGGCAATACTTTGTCCTCACTCTCTGCTCACTTTCTCTGTGCATCGGATGAAGGCACACTGTCGGCTGCGGTGAGAGGGATTTGTTGTGTTGTGGCCAGTGATGGTATTTGACATTTGAATGCGTTGTATGAAACAGGTGATTTCGTTCGTTTATCACAGGTCTTATTTCTTTCATTATGGAAAGTTAGTGAAAATTAGAGGGTTCTTGTTTTGCAGTGAGGAGAGGTTTTATTTACTTGTTGTGAGCATTTGTAGCGTGGTTGTGTTTATGCAATGCTTTTTTTTTGGTAATAAAAGGGAATATTGGCCAGTGCAGAACATTTTAACTGCTACGTAGAGATTTTGTCTGTTTGGCCTTCTGTTTATTGCTGGATCATAGGTAACAAAAACTAAACAAGATGTACTTCTTTTATTTTAAATCATTCAAAATGTCACAACTTCTGAAAAGGTCATGATTCATTGTGTTCAAAGTTTCACATTGTCAGCGGGGAAAGAAGTGACTTTGCTGTTGAGTCATAGCAGTCACTTCTTGTTTTCTTTCTTTACTAGCCCTTGTGGAGCCTCTTTATGATTATTCCCTATTTTTGTTCATTGCCTCTACTGTAGATAAGCGGTCAGCTGGCAGCTGGTGGGCAGAGACAGTCTGGGGCTCAGGCTGGCTTTTAGAGAACACACGGAGCACAAAGACACAGATTTTCAGTCTGCTTTGGTGAACCTGCACACTTGGTCTTTCTTTGTGTGTTTTTTGTTCTCTCTGGCGGCAGTCTTCAGAGTGTGGGAGGAAATATGTTTGAATCCTGACAGTGGATCTCAAGTCCCTCTGCTGACTGTTTATGTGCAGTAGCTCAGCTTTCATAAGAGCACCTTCTGGGCGGAGCTAGCGATGGGAACTGCTACATTGCTGGAATGTTTTGCTTGCTCTCAGCGAACACGTTGGCTGCCACACCCTCTTCGCCTTATGAGGCCTTTCCAACCAATCCGCTGTTACCCTGAGACAGCACCACCTCACTTTCAATGTACGTATGGAGATAGTCGTGCTCTACTGGGGGTTTTAATCCATCAGATTTTTCTCATCTTTCTGTTAGGAAGTGTGTTTATGCAGAGCTGTCACTGTATTCAAAAATAAGCTGTAGTACTTTTTGCACTATAATGTTTACCTTTTCAAAGCCATTGTTCATTTATAGCTTTCCATCTACGACAAGGTTCTGATTATGACTTTTTCACGCCATGTTTTTGTTAATACCAACATGTTCCTGATGCTCAGATAACTGTGATCTTTTTCCATTTTTGCCACTCTCGCTAACTTTGACTTTCCTCCCCTCCTGGTTGTTCCTTCTCCTTCTTGACCTGGCTCTGTGATGAACAACATGACCTTCCGTCTGACTCACTGCTGCTCCGCTCTTTCCCTCTATAGTCCCTCGCATCAACGGTCACTCTAAATCAGAGCGCACTGCAAGGGACTCGGCCATGGGTTACGACAGCGCCTCTGTAATGAGCAGTGAGCTGGAATCCAGCTCATTTGTTGACAGCGAGGAAGATGAGGATGCTAGCAGGTAACATACTACCTCAGATCAAAATGTATCTCTGTGCCATCCAAACATACAAATCAGTAGCAGATTGTTTCTGAAATTATCTGTTGCTTTTCAGTTCATGAAAGCCACGAAAACAAAAGCTTGTGTTGACACATGACATAGAAGTACCAGTTAACAATATATTGACTGTATGTCAGCTTCAGCACATTTCAAGGCATCATAAAGCAACTTACAAATGTACATGCAGTGAGTCATGAGCCTGCAGATCCACAAACATCAACTTAGAATATGTTTTGGTTTATGATATTGTAATATTTCATTGTACTGTATGGCAAATGTGTTTTATATTGTCTACAAACTCACTGTATAAATGAACATGTAAGGTCATTTGATGTCAAGTCTACACAGTAGATTTAAATAATATAAATACATGCACAACTTTTGCCTCTTTTCTTATTCTGATATCCGGTTTTCGTCTCCTCTTTTTTCCCTCCTGTATCATTAATTCCATTCTCTTCTTCTGTGTTTCAGACTCAGTAGTTCCACAGAACAGAGTTCTTCATCACAGTTGATGCGCAGACACAAGCGGCGCAGACGGAGACACAAAGTGGCCAAGATAGACCGGGTACGCACTTCTAAACACGTCACCGCCTCTCCTGAAATTGATGTTGACACTGAGTGCGAAAAACAGATGAGAAAGCTGATTGATATAGACTTTATGCCACTTTTATTTACAACGCCCTCATTGTAACCTCTTTCCGCCTTTCCCAGTCTTCGTCCTTCAGCAGCATCACAGACTCCACTATGAGCCTCAACATCATCACCGTCACGCTCAACATGGGTAAATCTAATACACCCACAACTGTGATTTTTATTTTTATTTTTTTACACAGTTATATTATACTCTTTCTCAGACTTGTGTTATCTTACTCATTCCATGCTTCCTCCCTGACAGAGAAATACAACTTTCTGGGTATCAGTATTGTTGGTCAGAGTAATGACCGGGGAGACGGTGGCATTTACATCGGCTCCATCATGAAGGGAGGAGCTGTAGCTGCTGATGGCAGAATAGAACCTGGAGACATGCTCCTCCAGGTACACTTCCAGTTTTACAAATTCAGCATTTGAATGTTTTATCACAAGTTATCAGTGGTTTGGTGACATCTCTACCATGTCAGTTTCAAACTGTAAATGCTGACACACGAAGATGTTACTGTTTATCTATCTGAGGCTTGCGGCCTAATAATAACCACATCGTTGTGTTCACTTCCGTTGTAGTTCTGCCTCTCCTTTTCCTTCCTGTTTTTGCCATTCTTTGATGTCTGTGCGGCAGAGGTCTATGGCTACACCCACTGCAAAACACATGATTGCCATTTGTTGTCACCCTCGCATTATCAATACAGGCTGTTTTATGACTGTGCATCCCACAGAAAGCAGCTTAGGGTTTGCAGGCATCCGAAGGCCTAGAAGTACTGCAGAGATGAATGTGTGCACAGTATAAGTGCATAAACACACCTGCACTGTTTTGAAATTATTTTAGTCATGAAAACACAATGTATAATTAAGTAATGCAATTTGATATAATGAATTAATTACACAGTTTGTTTTCATCTTTCTACCAGGTGAATGACGTAAACTTTGAGAACATGAGCAATGACGACGCTGTGCGGATCCTAAGAGAGATTGTTTCCAAAACTGGGTAAGAACATTAAACTTATTCAGAGCATTGTGCTTATTTGGATCTTTGTTGTGAAAAATGATCACAGTGAGAGCATAACTTATCAATAACTTTGTATGGTGTAATTGTATACTTCAAATTAATATGTAAATCGGAGAGGGTGTTGTATGGATATTCTGAGGATTGTAAGAAATGAGGAAAGCCTATTGAGAAAAAAATTAGTTTGCTGCCAATACAGCATGTGTTGTTTTTTTTTTGCAAGATTTTTCATACCATCTTTGAAAAAAAGACCTTGTTACTTTGTGAGTTAGTATTAACTACTTTGCTGCATCACAAAGCAGCAGCAGCAGATTATAGAAGTTAACTGACTAGCAAGCTTTACATACTAATACCCTGTAATTAACTGGTGTCATTTAGTAATTTGTGGGGAAAAAATGACTCGATTTCTCTGTTGGCTGATAAATATCAGCGGTGTCACACATGTGATGGGTGTAATGCAAATAGTGATAATGTGGTAAATATTATTTAGTAGATAGCAATCTATTCACTCTTGTTGCATCATTTGGTAAACCAGGCTGTTAAAGAAATAATTATTTATAGTTGTCTATATTTTAACTACAGCTAATGTGTTTTATTTTCTATTATTTACACTCATTTTCTAAATTCTTCTGCAGTCCTATTAGTCTTACTGTTGCCAAATGTTGGGACCCATCTCCAAGAAGCTACTTCACCATCCCTCGTGGTAAGACAGACACCAGTGCTGTACTTCAACAACATCCTTCTTAGCAAATACGTTCTTTTATTTCATGTCACTGGCCAGGTTTTAACTATGTTAAATCTGTATATTATGTAATAACTTTTTCCTATTTGTTCAGCTGAACCAGTGCGACCTATTGACCCTGCCGCCTGGATTTCTCACACCACAGCCCTGACAGGACCTTACCCACACTACGGTAAACACAAGCAGCTACTGTCATCAACGCTATAAACACCATTTTTTAAACAACTGTATCATGTTATTTAATTATGATAAACATGCAGCATTTACATGTTTTTTTTTTCTTTGTCCATCTTAGAGTTTGATGACTTGCCTCTGTCTGCCAGTAAAACAGACATGGCAACTATCGTCAAGGTGATGCAGTTGCCTGACTCTGGCCTCGAGATTAGAGACAGGATGTGGCTGAAGATCACAATTGCAAATGCTGTCATAGGTGAGAAAAGCTGAGTGAAGCGAAACTTTATGTTGACAAAGATCTGCAGTGTTTAGGTCACTGACCGTAAGCAATGCATACAAGTTGGAGATATGCACACATGTATATGGTGTTGTACGCATACTGGTTTAACCCTCTAAACCACAAGCAACTTTTTTGTTTCAGTCACATTTTTACTGGCAGTAGGCTCATTTTTCACAGCAATATAAAGTCCTGCAGCTTTATGAGAAACAGCACAGCCATGGCTATAGGTAGAGAGAATTCAACAATGTCTTTTGTGCAGTATGACAAAAATAACATGCCATAAATCATAAAAGTTGGATTTCTATGATTTTTCATTTAACAAAAAATAAAATAACATTGGAATCAACATGTACAACATTTTTCCAAGGGCCCACAGGTGTTACCAACACTTGAGAAATCTTGGCTTTAAATGCTGTAAATATTTATACTATTCACACTTTTAATTTATTTCCACAGTTCACTTCTGTGCTCTGTGTTTGGTCACAATCTGGTGCAAATGTTTTTTTGGACAATTGAAGGAAGCATGTTGAATAAAGTGCCTTTGATGAAATATCATGATTTTAGGCTTAGATTTTGTTAATTTTCTAGAAAGAAATGCACTTCACAAAAGAGTTCATCTACTGCCAGAAGGTGTAGAACACAGTTTCTGGCTCTGATAAATGGTGTAATTTAATGGTGTAGTTTTGACCTTTTTTTTTTTTTTTTTTTTTAAAGATAACAGGCCTTTAAAACCCACCAGTGGGTTTTTGGCGTTCACAGGGTTAAACCTCAGTGGTGCATGTTAGCAACAATAATACATCTCTAACTCGTTACAATTATAAAAATAAAAATAAAATCTGAATAAAGAAATCACTGTTTATTTGCCATTTCCTAAACAGTGCAAAGTTAAATTACAAAGTTATAATGAGTTACAAAGTATGTTAGCTAGTAATCATTCTAGCTCATCAAAGAATTTCTTTGAGGGAGTTTGTTAGTAAATAGAAAAATGTATATATATATTTTAGTTTTCTTTGTTGAACTCATTTGAGCAAAGTTTTTTTTTTTTTTTCCTAACCTCAAAATCCAAGTCTGAGCCTTGGAAGCATCAGACATAGCTCAGACATTAGCTCCACTAACGTTATTCCAATTCTTACAACATGGTGCTGTTTGTCTAACTGCAGCCACTGTGGTCACTCTGTGGCTGCTGCATATCAACAGTGTTTTTAGCATCTGTTCAACACATCAGAGCAGGCGCCTACATGTCCACGTGTGTGTTTGTTGCTGTGTCAGGTGCTGACGTGGTAGACTGGCTATACTCCAGGGTGGAAGGATTCAAGGATCGGCGGGATGCGAGGAAGTACGCAAGCAGTCTGTTGAAACACGGCTACCTGAGACACACTGTCAACAAAATCACCTTCTCCGAACAGTGCTACTACACCTTTGGGGACCTCTGCCAAAGTACCTTTCTCAGCGTATCAGTAATGCAACTCGCACATCTACGATTTCTTTTTCTATGAAGAGACGGACTAAATCTTTTCCTCTCTGCTTCTGTTTTCTCTCGTCAAGACATGGCATCGCTCAATTTAAATGAGGGATCCAGTGGTGGAGGCTCTGAGCAAGACACTTTGGCACCGCTACCTCCCACCAGCAACCCCTGGCCTCTGGGCGGGCAGCCATTCCCCTACCCTCCTTTCCCCTCCGCACCACCCAGCTTTCCACCAGGATACTCAGACCCATGCCACAGTTTCCACAGTGGGAGCGCAGGCAGCCAGCACAGCGAGGGTGAGTGACAAGGAGGGCTGCAACGGGCCTTTTGAGTTTGCCATCAGCCTATCATTAATTAATGTAATAATTTGACTCAACATGCAACATGACATTAATTAATCTAAGTATTTCTGGCAATACGATGTCAGTATTAACAAGTGTCTGATTCACGCTAATGTTAGCTTTTCTGGCTCTCTGGGCAGGAAGTTGACATTGGATTGCATTTTCCCATAATTAAGTATGTGTATTCTAAAACGCGTCCTGTATTGTCAAGGTCAATCATGAGCATCTTGAGTCATGCAGCGGACAGCTCTGCAGTACTGGGTGTGTACACAACAACAACAAAATCTGATCAACCGCGTGATTCTGAATCACCAGCTTGAAATGATCAAATCCATCCCTCTCCATCTGTTCTTGAATGATCTTTTGTTTCCATTTTTAATCAAAAATGTGATGGTGCTGCATGATTTTTGATATCTGCATTGAAGGAGAGTGGAGAACCCGGGAGGGGGGTGTGTGGTAGTGTCGTCGTAGCGTATATTTTAAACCAGGCAGCCCAGATAAAGGATGTAAAATACATGTTGCCATCTATCAGTCGAGTTTTCTTCGTTTTAAGTGATTCATCCAGACATCGTCATATCTTGCTTTCAGCCAGTTGCCATTATTTCCGTTGGTTTCCTCTGCATTGTTTGGAGGGAGATGACAAAAGCAGTCAAGGAGTCAGAGTTAAGAACAAGTGTTCATGGGTAATTATGTGTCCATCTGCTTGCTTCAGGGAGTGCATGTGCAAATTTTTAGGGTCTTCACAACTTTCTTTTTTAGCTGACAAGACAGGGACAACAATGGGTGTAATATTAGTAAGGGGTTTACAGGGCAGATGCAGTACATTAGGTAGTGTGGGAAAGTCTGGGCTGGGAGGTGTGTGTAATTCTGTTGTTCCCTCTGTTTCTGCTGGGCAACGGTAGACTGAAGGAGGAGGTAGTCCCAGGACACTGGGGGAACCGGTAAGCCTGCTAACCCCCCCCCTCCCCCCCTCTCCTCCTCTGCTGTTCTCTCTCTCTCTATCCTACCATGCAGTCTTATTCTATCACTCCTCTCTTTCTCTTGTGCTCAACATTCTCCACCTATCATACTGTAGCTTTAAGGTTCTTTTTTTTTGTTAACCTGCCGCCCGTCCCATGATTCTTCCTTCGTCCATGTGTATCCTGTGTGTGACTCTCCTGACAGTTGATTTTCCCTCTCTGCACCTCTGGGCATGCATTCGTACTCTGCTGGGAGGTGCATGATGCAGGATGATCACTCCGAGGCTTGTGCAATCATTCCCACTGATAGGGGGCGATCATGCACCACTTTACCCAGTACTGTTGGGCTCATTGCGGAAGGGGAGGCGTGGAATGTTTGATTTTGCAGTAGTGTGGTACACCTCCATCAGTATGACACCACCAGTACTGAGATGCGACACTGACTTGCTTTTGATGCAAAATTGACGATGTGAATATAACTTTATTAAATAAGTTCTTGTGTTGTATCCTGAATTGCTGTGTAGTGATCTCTTTCTGATGTTGGTGTATCACATTTACATCTACAATCTGTGGATGTTTGTATGAATGTTAGATGAAGCCCGTAATGTTAGCTGTTGCAGTGGAACTTGGGGGAGAAACGTTTGAGATAATCATGTTTGCCCTTGACTGTTGGCTCTTGCTAGATTGCATAAGAAAAAAATATCCGGTCACACCTTAAACAAAGTGCAGTAACGTGTTCATTAGCATTTACGTGCACATTGAGAGAGTTTCCACTTAACATGTCATGTGTAGTGTCTGTTGCAGTTCACGAAGGCCTCGTTAAGCTGTTGTTTAATGTGTGACCTTCTGTCTCGATGTTAATCAGTAGCGAACCCGGCTGGTTCTGAATCAGCTGTAGCTGATGAGTTGCAGCTGCTCACTGTATATTTCCTGGTATGTGTGCATGTACCGTGGAAACTGAGTTGTCTGTTGTTTTTCTCTCAACAGGAAGCCGAAGCAGTGGATCCAACCCCAGCGCGGGCAAAGGGAGACGCTCCTCCCCACAGGAGAAGGGTCAAAGGTCAACATGCAGCGAATCTGAGCCAGGCGTCCGTGGAGGGAGGCGCGGTGATAGGTCCGCCAGCCAAATGAGCCATCACAGCCACGCCGTTTCCAGTCACAGTCACGCCCGATCCGGTCTCAGCCACAGTCATTCTCACCGGAGCCACACTCTCTCACAGAACAACCACCCCCCCTTCACCTACAGCCACGCCCCCTTTACCCAAGCAGGGCCAGGCTCCTGTGCCCAGAGCGAGCGAAGCCATGCCTCCTCCTACGGCCCCCCGGGCTTGCCTCCCCCTTATTGTCTGGCCCGTCTGGCCCCCAAGACCCCGGTCAGCAGTAGCACGCCGCCCGGAGCCCCTCCTGGGAGAGAGTTAGCAGCCGTTCCTCCTGAGCTCACCGCCAGTCGCCAGTCCTTCCAGCATGCTATGGGCAATCCCTGTGAGTTCTTTGTTGACATCATGTGACAGGACAGTGCCTTTAAAACTCAGTGAGCACAAAACGATTCTCCCTGAACCCACTCACCGCCTTCTCTCTCTCCTCTTAGTCTTTTGACCGTCTCTAAGGTCAGAATGTAGACACTGACTGGCCCTCCCCACAGCCCCCTGCTATCTGTCTATCCCTCTGATGTCCAAGCAAAGGAATACAGGCAGCAAGAGCACAACAGGAGGAGTTCTCTCTCCACACAAGCACGGGTCCTCTGGCTGAAAACCCTCTTTTGTATTGACGTGACGTGTACAGTTTGTGAAACGTGAGTGGTATTCAGTGTGGTGATTTCTTTAAAGCTGCCACGCAGACATTCTCGGGAGTGTGTACCCTACCTAGGATATTTTCTGTTCTGCAAGACCTTTAAGCTGGCTGGGCCTGGATCTCAATCCCCCAGACCCAGACCGAACTTGGGAAATTTTTTCTGGGCCTAGAACTTGGACTGGATTTCCTGGCTCATATTTGTGTGTACTGACAAAATTTAGCATGTTACACCAAACCTCTGGCCTAATTACCCTTACGCTGTGGCATTGCCACAAGCTTATTTAAGCTCTTACCTGCCAACTACTAAAATGCTAACCTTGATCAGTTCATGATCCGTGGATTTCTTCAACTTCACAAGGGAGGCCCTGTAGCCAGCCATTAGTTTAACTAGGCTGCATATTGCATGACTGTCTCAACTGCTTTAAAAAAAATTATTAATTAATTTTGTTGAAAGTATTACCATTATTGGGGGAGGAGGTTCCCTCTTGCCAATGTTCTAAAGGAAGAATCCGTACACTGGACGATTTTTGTGATGTTATTTATGTGATCATGTTGCATTGATGGTGTCATACTTTGTCTACTACAGCTGACTAACAGACAATCAGACATCACCCTTTGTGAATCAGTGGCCAGTTTCCACTGTTCTAGCTGTGCTTTGTCGAATGTATCATTATTGCTGTCAGTGACTGAACCCTGACACTCATAACACTTTGTTTTAAACTCATTTAAGTAAGCAAATCAACAGGATTGCAAACAGTGGACACCCACCACGGCTGTGACGCAAATTATGAAGGGTTGACGAGATAAACGTGAGCGCATCACGGATGTGTCTTTCTAGGCGAGTGTGAGCTTCGATAAAAGTCAGTGCGATAAAAGCCAAAGCCTCACATTGTGTGGTGGATATTTCTTTGTAATGTTGGAGCCGTCTTTGATGTTAATCTTTTATGATTGCCATCAGACACTTCTCATTTTATGTGTTCTAAGTGACTTCAAGGGGAATCCTGGCCTTCAGATGGTGAGCTCCTTGCAAAACAATGGCAAACCCCTGTTTGTATCTACCTAAAATACAGCAACAAGAGGGAAACAACAACCACACACACGTGTACACACACACACACACACACACACACACACACTAGTTTTATGAGCACTTTTCCATTTTGTCTGTCCCTCCCTTTAGTATGAAACACTGTTTGCAATCAAAGCTTTCTCTTTAATTTTGTTTCTTTACAAAAGAAGAATAAATTGTACATAGAAATTTATTATATATATGAATAAAAATATATA